TCCAAAGGATTGTTTTCAAAACTCTCTTTTGTTCTAATTTTTCAAGCTCTCTTTAACCATTTGTCTTGGAAGTATGGTGCTCTAAACTGGATTAAATATTCTATCTAAAGCCTCATCACGACTTTATAGAGTGAAATACTTCTCAAGTATTTAATGGAACATTTCCCAAATGAAATATGCTATGCTTCTCTCACCCTTCATTTTCTGCAGCAGTGTTTATATTGACTCATATTTAGCTAGTTATCCTGTGTAATCTTGGAGCCTTTTCTGCTGAACTAAACTAGTGTTATTCTACTAACAGTCCTACAATCATTAAGAGCTAAGGTTGCACTCTGAAAGAAAATGCTGTTGAAGGCAAGCTTCTGTACTAAATAGGTAAACTTCTGTAGTAAATACTATATAATTTGGGCAGGGAGGTCTCTTCTAGGGAATATGTAGATATTCTTGTAGATATACAAGCGATGTGGATTGCATAATTTTGTATCAGCATACTGGTATTAGTTGCAATCTAGCTACTTAGCAAACAACAGAATGGACATAGGTACAAATGTTCCTCAAGCCATCAGCCTGTGGATAAGATTCTACCCTGCACAGAGTGAGACACATGTTTCTGCTGCTATTACAAAAGTTATTTGGGTTGGTGTATTACATCTCCTATCTCAGTTGCATTTTCTTACAACAGCGTGTATTTGCATAGTTATCCTTTGCAAAGAAAGAGAAGAGTAATGTCCTGTGTGGCAGCATTTAAGAAGTGATGGTCTGTTCAGTATCTTCCTTTTTTGTTTAAGGAAAGGGAACATCCTTTGCAAAAATGAAAGCATCAAAATAGGTGAGGGGCTGGGTGGGGAGGAGAGGTGATTTAAGATGGAACTCAGATGCAAGTGAAGTCTATCAGGGTTTACAAGAATTTATTGTTAGTGTTTAATTTCTACAGGATAACTTGAATTTTTAACAGTAGTTTTTATAAACAAGAGCTTTGTAAATACTTTTTTAATTTACATTGCTAAATAGTAATTTTCCCCAGATGTTCAATTTTTTTGTAGCACCTTGAAACTTCTGAGTTTTTGTGTTTAACCGTGGAGCAACACATCTAGTAAGTTTCAGAGAATCTGTTCTGCTATCCCAAGAGAAAATCTCTCATCAGTCCTATTTTTAAATGTGTTTAGTCTCCATATAGTTATTCTAATAATTGCTAGGTGAGTAATGCTTTCACTGTTTTTAATCCTTTCCTCTTCAATTTGGAATGCTTCTGAAAATTGCATCTAATAGTCTTGACAAAAACTTGTGCAATCTCTTAATTTTTTTTTTTTTTTAATACAAAGTACCTATTCTGCATTTACACATACTGCTTTGTTGGATTATGTGAAGAGGAGATATGGGGGTTGTCTCTGTCATAAGTATTAAAGAATGATTCCCAGAGATTTTTTTTTTTTTAAAATAGCAGGCTCCCAAATTGATTTTTTTCAAGTTTCTTTAATAGTAATTCAGGATGACTACAAGTAGCATTAGTATTTCAGGATCTGTGTTTTTCCTGTTTCCGGGCTTGTATTCTGAATGCATTCCAAATTAAAAAAATTTCTTTGTGTGTGTTGCTGCTGTGGCATGTTTTTTGATAGATCAGCAACTATGTGATATCAGTATCGTGGAGCAGTGACACTCAGCCTTAGCCCAGATATCTACATCATCCAATAACAATCATATGCCAAGAGCCGAGTCTGAGGAGATGCCAGGAGGTAGAAAATAACTATAATGTCTTTCAGATTAAGGGAAGAGAGGCAGCTTTATTCAAGTAACATGAAGGGATTATTATGCACACCTCATCTTTAATGGATTCTTTTAATTACGTTTTTTGGAATCTAGAAATGGTGGGTTTAAGTATTAGTGTACAGAATAAATACACAAATAGGCTTCTATCCCAGTCTTCTAAAAAGTACAGAGGAAACCTGATATTTTGGAAACTGAAATAACAGGGGAGCAATAAGATCAGAAATTTTCTGATTTTTTGTTTCCCTAGCTCAAATGTGATCTTTAGTAGTCTTTCTGTAGTATCCAGTGGATATTTCTGCACATATATATTGGATGTTCAGTAGACATTTGTGTATGGTTTGTAACATTAAGCTGTCTCAGGTTTGTGAATGGGGAGATGATTTCCTACTGAAAAGACTGCCCTTCCAAAGGCCACTCAAAAGTTTCAGATGTGATGTAGTTGATCAGAAATTAAGAATGTTTGATGCATCTGAGTTATCTGCATCTGGCTGAAGTTAGCTCACTTCCTAAAAGAAATGAGGCATCAGTTTTATGTTCTTTGATGTCAGCTACAATTCTGCACCATCTTGACAGAGTTTGGTATGGAAAACTGAATCAAATAAGCACACTATCTGCCTAATCTTTTTTTAACCTTTAAATATAGAAGTTTCATTAAATTAAATTCAACTTCTGTAACCCTAACAGTAAAATAGATACTCATGCATATGTTCCTTTTTTGTCAGAATAGGTCTTTTAATGATCACATCTGATTCGGTGTAAAAGGCAGTAGAAGATTAAATGACTGAATGAAAGTATTAGAAGGGTAATTTCAGAGTGGTGATTATTCTTTCAGTAGAGTTGCTTCTTAAATTAACACTGACTTTTTTTTTTTGCCTGAAATACTTAATAGCTCAATTTGGACCAAATCCAGATGATGAATGATTAAGAATGGATTTAACATCCATTACTACTTTCTCATTCATGACTTAAATGAGAATAGGTATGAACTGAAACTACTTTGTATAAAACTTCCACTGCAGAGTGAGCCAGCATAAGTTCCATCCACCTTTCTTCCCAGCATAGGACATAAACATCTACTTTGGTATATGTATGTTAGTGACTGAAGCACTGTGCTACTGTGTCAGCAGCTCCCAGGGAACTTTATTCTCCTGTGCACTTAATCTCCTCCAATTTTTTCTCCCTGTCATGGCTCACCTGTGCTTTGTTGGTTTGTCATCAAAGTTAGGAGCTTTTTGATTCTTCTTGGCTATGTGTACACACAGCAGTAGAATTATTATGAAGCTACTTACTTTAGCTCTTTCTACATCTGAGATTCTGGGGTTCACTGAGATTTGTGCAGAGAGGTTTTCTGGTATTGTGGATAATGAAAATGTAGAAGTGGTTCAAAAATCTAGGAGATGAAAACTTAAGCAAAACAATAATGGTTATCCTTTGTCTATTCTAGTTCTGACCTGCAAAGGCTGTGTGTTTAAAATCATGGGGTTTTTTAGTTTTTTAAAAAAATACTTGTGTACACTTTTCAAAAGTGTAAACTCTGAAGTCATCTGGCCTGGAAATTTGTATTGGAAAATAAGGAATTCTGGAGTTCTCACATAACCGTCTTGGCGTGGTGAACATGAGAAGAAACACAATTGGCTTGCCCTTGAGTGAGAGTTTGACAGCATTGATGGTCTTTGAATGCTTATATATGCTGGGTTATAAACAAAGCCTAACCAGTAGAAGTGTTTTGTTATGTTTCTGAAGGCTCAACCATCCCTGTTGGATTTCTGTATGTGTTATGGCACCCTTAAAGCACACTGACAACAAAATTGTGGCAAGGACTTGACATCACAAGCATGTTGCAGTGCTTCTTGGTCTATTCAGTTGCATTATGTAGACTGCTTATAAAAATAAGTGTTCTCTGTTTTATGTGCAAGCCTTTGTAAAGAAAAGAGAAGATATGCCAGAAAATTGGTTTATTCTTATTTGGGAAAAGAATACTCAGTGCTGGATATTAATATGTTGGGGGGTAGTATTTTTAACTAATGGGACATACCAATGAAGATGCAAAACAGGTATGGATCAAACATCTGAGTATTACGCTGATAAACATAGTTTTTCTAAAGACCTTGTTTAGTGCAAAGTAGGATAATGCTGTAAAATTATTATAGTGACTAATTTCAGTATTTTGTATGTTTATAGCTTTGGGGTTTTTGTTTTTCCCAGTTTTTGTGTTTCAGTGACTAGGTTAGGTAGGTTGTGTTTGTGCTGGCTCCAGGCTGCTGTTTCATTTGATTTATGAGTAGTAGTAACATTGCACTTAAGCAGTTTTGTAGAACTAGGTACATCAGTGGACTTTTCTGTGATGGGATCTTCCAGCCTTAGACAAATCAGTTCAGGACTTCTAATTGGCATTCTGCCATCCCCCGATACTTTAAAGTCATCTCAATAGATAAAATATGATCAAGTCTCAATGGACTCTTCAGACTTTCTTCTCTCAAATGAAGCATTTCAGAGTATTAATCGAGAGATCAGAACAAGAAATACTGAACTAAGTCTTAAACAATTTTTCCATGTAATAAATACTCTTAAAGAAGTAGTATTACACTGGAATTTACCTAATGTTCATGGAGGGAAAAAGAAGTGTACTGACAAAACTATAAATATGAGATGTCTTAATCAGAACTGATTTACTGAGAACAAATTGCCTTCGTTCCTTCTTAGGTCTAGTGTTGGCAGGTTTAGGTTGGACATTAGGCAAAATTTTTTTCAATGAAAGGGTTGTCAAGCGTTGGAATGGGCTGCCCAGGGAAGTGGTTGAGTCCCCATCCCTGGAAGTATTTAAAAGACAGGTAGATGAGGTGCTTAGGGACATGGTTTAGTGGTGGGATGGCAGGGTTAGGGTAATGGTTGGACTTGATGATCTTAAGGGTCTTTTGCAACCTAAAAGATTCCATGATTCTGTGATTTTTCTTGGAGGTATTTAGTAGTCTGTAACTTGCTTACTTTGATTTCTGAATGTTAACTTTAGCTGTATGGGATTTGGGGGCATAAGTTAATATTCCTCACCTTATAATAGCAACTGTAATTAATTTCAGTCATGAGCCATCTTATTAATAGTAGGAATAAAATAGGATCTATTTTCTTGATGAAGTATCATTAATCTGCCTGAAATTTCCACATCTACCATTTTTAGTCTTACTGCTCTAGACAGTGCAATATGTAACTTAATGTTCTCATTGCCTTAACCTTAGGTGGAAGAAGGAAGCAAAAATGTACGCTTAGGCTCACTAATTGGTCTGTTGGTAGAGGAAGGACAGGACTGGAAGCAAGTTGAAATACCAGCTGATGTTACTGATCCATCTTCTCTAGCTCCACCAGCACCTGCGCTTACCTCAGCTCCAGCAGGTCCTTCTGTTTCAGCCCCTCCTAAACTGGAACGTCAACCTGGAAAATTACAGTAAGTTCCTATGGTTGTTATGAAACGGAACTCTTATTTAGTTAAACTCTTACTTAGTTAGATGAGTAGAGCTGAACTAAGAAAGAATCTTTTGTCCCTTTTACCTAGTATTAAGCGGTTAGTTTAAGTGTTTCAGTGTGTGTGTGAGGTAATAAAGCTTGCCTACTCAAAATATTTCTTTGCCTGTAAGCTCAATAATTCAATTTGAACAACATAGTTTTATTAGAAAACCTTCTACGGATGTGCTTTTATTCTGATGTACAATTGCTTTGTGAAAGATTCTAAGCTTAGATTAGGAAGAAGTTGTATTTATATGTGATGGACACTAATGCTTATGCATCAGATGCTCAGTTTATCTATAACTTGCTTTCTATTTCTTTTTTAGGAGAAAAAACAAACAAACAAACAAATGGCACACTCCAGAACCCTTCCAAGCTCTTGCACTTTTGATATTAGAAAAAATTTTTCTTTTCATAAGTGTAATATGAAAAACTCAAAACTGTGGGTTTACATTTTGTTGGTTAGGGTTTTTTTTTCTTTGATCTGTTAGGGTACTCTAAGCATTGCAAACATCTTAGAGGTGGAGTAAATTAACCCTAAAGTGTTATTCAGGTAACAGTAATGTATAAATTACTGGTTTAATGTAAAAAAAAAAAAAAAAAAAAAAAAACAACCCTGTTTTGTGTCATAGGCTGCTCCTTCTTTGGAGGTGTCACTCCTTCTTTGGAGTAAATGGTTATAACACAAAAGCTGTAAAATTACATGCAGTTAAAGAAAAGAATAGAAAACTAATTTTGGTAGCATGAGCTATGCAAACTGTTTGGTTTTGGTTGTTATGGAGTTATTTTGGTTTTCTATTTGTGTGTGAGTGAGTTTGTTTTTACCCAAACCTCATTACCTTTTCTGTCTGGTTTGCTATGTTTACTTTTGCTGTCAGCATTTAGGATCTTCTCATGCAAGTGGGAGAAAACCAAGTGAGGTCGTTGCCCAAATGTTGCCTGTAGTAGGTGGGGTGATCCAAGGAAAAGATCCCTGAAAGGGTTAAGTCTTGCATTTTAGTACCAAAGGGCATCAGCAGTGCATCTGTTTCACTGCAACTGTTAATTAGAGATGTATCAGCATCTTTGGAATCAAGTGATCATTTATGACTCTTTTTTTGCAAGGGCTTATGGACAGTTCTTCAAACTCAATGTAGTCTATTAGGAAATAATATTTCCTTTAGGAAATAATGAATTGCAGATTTTGTGGAACAACTTGAAAGCAAGTATATATTGTTTTTGAAAATGTTGCTGCTTTTGTATCTAACAATTCTGAAGTCTTTTCTCTACATGGTAGTTTTTTTCCTCATTTCAGAAACCAAATCATGCTAAGGTGCAGTGGGTGCTCTTTAGCTATGTACTGTGCTTTATAGTTGATCACTGTGCTTCCAGGCAGAAATGTTACTATGGAGCGTACCCCATCTAGGTCAAGATGGCAGGTACAGGTTTACTAGTATTACAGTACATCTCTGGTATATGCTGATTAAAATGTTTGAGAGGGCTTAATATTTAGTCTTCTAAACCAGATACTGAATTGTGCAACTACATCTGTATGGCTTTTGCTTTCCAGAAAAATAGCCATTTCATTAAATCAATCCTATGATAAAGTTGAAGGTAGGACAAAGGTAATTTTATTATTAGAATTAAGTTGCATTAATGATGCAATTACAACTAACTAAACAAATAATAGAGATCAGCAACCCTCTTGTCTGAGCTCCTAAAACTCATTTTTTAATGTTACTATAACAATCTGGTCTTAAAAAATTTATTTGGTTCTTCACTGATCACCCTTTTTGCCAGAGGAATCCACATGTGTATTGCATTTCTGCTGTAAGAGGAAAGTTTGGAGACGAGTTTTATTTTGATCTTTTTAAGGTCATAATTTTGTTTTGAAATTCAACCTTGTATTAAAGCTGTCTGACAGTTTGACACAGTCTTTCAGTGTTAGGATCACAGCCTTTGTACAGAACTCTGTTTTCTCCAGCTGTTGCTTCTGAAGTAGAGCATATATTGTATAGTTTCTCTTGATGTACACTAAATAAAATAAAGTTAATCTTATTCTTTAAATAGTTTATTTTTTCTACTCATTTCTTTAGGGTTCGCTTAAGTCCTGCAGCTCGCAACATTCTGGAGACACATGGACTAGATCCAAGTAATATTACACCTTCTGGGCCTCGAGGAGTCTTCACTAAAGAGTATGTAGATATTTCAGTAAAGCTACAACCTCATATCCCCTTATTTCTTCCTTTGAACCTAAAGCAATCTCCATGAACTTGAAAAGTCCATTTATTTAAATAGCCAACTTTTTGTTCCAGTTTCTTCTGTGAGGGAATGGCTTAATTAAATTTGAAAAACCTGTTGAGAAGCTGTGGCAAATAAGTTCTGAAATATTGCAAGATGCCTTTAATTAAAAAAAAAACACCTTTTGTTTTTATATCTCATCTGAGCTGCATGATACTGCTGTCACATTTCCTGCAGCTCAGCCTAATGGTGGCTAAGCACCACTGTTAGCTACTGTTGTGGATCTCAGGAAATTTTTCTATTCAGAGATCTATTCAGAGCCAAAGTAAAATGCCAGTGGCCTGTTTTCTTCAGCTGCTTTCCTCTGGGGAGTCCAGACCTTTTGCCACTTTCACTGAAGTTCAGTTATGAAGTCTGTCAGGATTTAATTTGTTCACTTCTTCATTAGTCTGGGGAGAGCAATTAAGTGTAATGGTAAAAAATCCAGAGCTCTATTTTTCTCCCATCTTTTGTTTTTCCCCCATCTTTGATTTAATGTTTGTTTCCAAACCCGTGGTTTGTTGTGATCAGGTTTCTAGTAGTTTACTTTTTGAGTAGTCTGATGTAATGGTTGGCACTCAAGCCTTGGAGTGAAGAACTTGTGTATAAAAATGTGTTGGGGTTAGATCTAGAGCCTTTAGCCTTGAAATGGTGCATTATCTTTACATTAGCCTGTATGTTATTGGCGAATGAGGATTTTGGCACAAATACTTATTTTTGTTCTCAGTAAAATTATTCCTTTTGACAAATGCCCTCATTCACCTATGCAGACTTTGTCTGCTGATGTAATTTTAGTTCCATTCAAAGACAGCCAGGTCTTGGAATTGAACCCAGAGAAGCAGACAGTGGACATCTACTGTTTTTTCAAAACTCTTTTTCCTATGGTCTTTGGCTGAGTTGAGATAAAATAAGGAATTGAATAGATGTAATATCCTGTGTTAACAGCAAATTATCAGAGGTAGTTTTTTCTGAATTATGTAAGTGTAATGGTAATTTATGATGTGTTACTAGGCTATGGCAGATGGAAACCCTCTAGGATTTTGAGCTACCTAATTAACATTCCCTAGTTGTCATGGAGGTGTAGCAAAGATTTTTTTTTTTTTTTTTTTTTTCTGTAGCTATGAGAACTATCTAGCAATATTCTGTTTTCAAAACTGCTTACTTCCATACAAATATTCAACTTTGAAATGTCATTTTAATATACAGACTGTCTGGGGTTTTTTAACCATTCTTTGAAAGGCTGTTAATCTTTCAGATGCCTACAGGGTCTGCTTGAAATGTTCAGGCTGAAATGAAAAGTTTGCAGATTTTTGTGGAGAGCTGCTACAGATATTCAGGGAAATATTTATTTTGCTAACTTGAGATTAAAATGCATGCCATGCTTTATAGCTGAGTGGTCTCTTTTACAAATATAATGATTGATTCTTTGAGGGAGTGTTGCAAGTTCACTTTTAAATTCTGAGTTTCCTTACTGAACAGGGCTCATGCTCACCAGATTACAAGAAACAAAGATAGATAGTGAGTTATGTAAGCAAGCAAGGTATTTGCCCCCCAACTTTCTGTCTTTAAACTCAATTAACTGTAAAACTTCTAACAGCGATAGGAGCTTTCATTTAATAGCTTTCTCCGTCTACTCCCTTAGTAGGCTGATACTTCATTTCTCTTATGTATCTGTGCAAGGCTGAATTACTGTTGTCATGTTCCTGCTTGGTTTTGTTTTATTGAGTGGTAGCTTTTTTTATTTGTAAGCAATATCCTCTGCTTTCTTCAGAAATATGCTAGAAAATTGATGTGTCAGTTCAAAGTAACTCACAAATTCCATCAAAGATTGTACCATGTTCCTAGTCATCAACTCAGACACTGTGTTTGGGAGAGCTATGTTGAAATTCCTGATTGTTTCAGATTACTTCTGCCCTTTCTTATACTATTTATTAGTGATCTAGGTATTTATAATGCAACCATAAAAAGGGGAGGGGGGCTAGTTACCAACAATTACTGTGTTTTTCTGAGGCCATGTTCCTTCCATCTGTACATTCCTACCAGCTGTCACTAAGTTAGTGTCATTTGGGATCTCAGAACTGCTCAGGCATTTGCATTTTCAGCTTGCAAATAAGGCACAGTGCCCACGTGTAGTGCTGGTTTTCTAGAAAGTTATTTCATGTGAATGTATTGAGTACAGACCTACAGTGGGATCTACACTGCGTGCAATTTGTTAGCTGCCATTATGGAGGACTGTGTTCCTTCTATAAAGCTGATAGTGTGGTAAATCTGATACCTGGAAGTTTCTGATGTGTAACATTCTCTGCTCACCTTTTTCCTTATTCCAGGAAATCTTCTATGAATTGAGTAATTAGATGTTCAGATGAAAGGGAATTGGGACTGTTTAGTAACAGTAACTGCCAGCAGAGGAAGCTAGTGTCAATCTGTGCATCTCCTGTTGCATCACTGGATCCTCAGTGATTTTTAGGTGTGTGTATAACCTCTTATGTGTCTATTTCAAACAAAGTATATTTTGAGCACAAAATACTCCCGTTTCCTTTGGCCATTCTTTGGATTTTGGCTAGAAGGAAGTGGAAAGACTACATACCTCTGTGGTAGTGGTAAACTGAAGTGTAACAGAGTTGCCAGAATCTGCATACTTCTAATAATAACAGTTTTGTTTAATAAATGTTTACCAAGCTCTGGTATCTTTTCTGGGGAGTAGATTGCTCTCTTTCATGTTGTTACCTCTCTCTCTCATCTTTCTCTGTTACTATCCTGTGTTGACAAAAGTTTATAGAGTATTTGGAAAGATGCGTCCAACCTTTCCTTTTCCAGTTCTAACAAAATATCAGTTTTTCCTGACTTGTACTGAAATCAGTTTAATTTAATTTGCTTTGCTGCCTTCTCCAGCTCTACTTATATGCAGGCTTACAATCTTGCACTGATGACAGTCATAACATTGCTGTACCTATTTTTCTTAATCAGTTAAATTGTGGAACTGGTAGCAGGGGAGTGATTTTTATATGTATAACAAATATATAAAGTATAAATATGAAATGTGATAATTTTATATATAATTTATATATTTATATTTCATACTCATGCATGATTTTCAAAAACTCCTGAGTGAATCTTCTAATCTAAAAATAAGCTCAATTTTGGCAATACATTTTTCTGTTAAAAGACAAAGCCACCAAAATTATTAAAGCATTTTCACTTGGCTATGAGAGGTAGGACCTTCTGCTTTTTGTCATTTTCATAGTATATGGAAGTAATTTTAAAGCATTTCCTTAGCTTTAAAATATATAAGAAGCTATAAAAGCTTTATTTTATGTATTATGGAATATAATGAGCAGGTGGTCTGTCTTATGACTGCCAAGTTAAAACCTATAAGTGATTTTTGGTAGCTTCTAATAAGTTCACTAGGAAGGTTGCATTGTGTCATGCAGTTACTTTTTATTATCTCCAACTGTAATGCTAGAGCATGATTTTCATTCAATGAAATATAATTTTTTCCCTGACATAGTAGTTATGTTAAATACTACCACTTATTTTTCTAACAAATTTCGGCTAACGTTAATTTGGGAAAACAACTTTAATAATGACAAACTTATATCCCGAGCTCAGTCTTTTTAAAAAATATTTTAATATTATTTGCTGAAGTATGTACTGAAGCTAAAAATAAATTGAAGCAAGTGAGCAATCAGTAAAAGGCGTTATATGGAACGTAAGTTTTTCAGTTCTTGGTTCTGTAGTGCTACTTTGCTAGGAAGAACTAAGAATGCCTGATGTTCTGAGATTTTTGTCCTTTCTACAAAAACTTCGTAACACATAGACTCTCACTCAGGAATAGACTCTCACTCAAGCAGTAATCTAATGAAATCGGATAGCTCTGTTTACTATTTATGGCTTATGTTTTGAAGACATGGTATGGTTGTAAGTAGTCTGATTTTTATATTTATTTTTAATTTCCTCTTCCAGTTTATGTAATAAAACTTTGTGTATGTAAACCTTGGTGTACATGCTGTGGTGATGTCTTCGTGAAGTGGAGATTTATCTACGGTATATGATACAGACCTCCATTATCAGATCTAGAGCACAGCTCTTCTAACAAGTCACTAGTATAGATGCGGTTACAACTGCAAAACAGAAACCTTACTGTAGCTTATTTCCCTTGCAATTGGCAGTGGTGGTATAAATGCAGTCTTTTCTGTTTAGCCTTGTCGCTGCTTATCTTTATCATGCAGCTTTATAAATACAATGCACCTAGGGCAGATGTAGTATTATAGCTTAAAGATGGGAGTTTACTTATGTCTGTCATACTGTGCCCACAAGAGGGAATTTTTATGGTGGTAGCTATATTGGTATAAAGACCCAGGGAGAATGCTTATAGAGTAGACAAGATTCAACCACACCTGGGACTGTTACATGTTACTCAGTTTTTGGCTTTGGTTCTTTAGTGTGGTGCTATCTTTCAAATTGCTTATGAAGTACAGACTTGTATACTTTCTACATCTGTTTCTGTATATTTATGTCAGAAAGGTACAGACGAATGGTAAATGTAGTATCCAATTTTCTGTGAGCACTAATTAATTACATTAAATTCAAATGATTACAAAAATGAAACAGCTTTTATTTGAGATTTTATATAGTAAATGTACTCTGATATATTATTTAGAAGAATTGTTAGTGCAATTCACAAATTACCTTGTACACTCACAATTAGTGTTGATCAATGTTATGCTTCTCTAGCACAAATGTTTTCTGTTACTGCATATTCAAGCCCTCTTATTCACAGTTGTTAAGGAGAATTTACTAAAAAGATACCACAAAAAGAGACACAAAATTCATCAGTTAATAATAATCACTTTAATGTTTGGTTTGACAACAGAAATTTAAATGCACAGAAGTGGCTAATTAATTAAGTGACGGAATAGTAATACTTTGGGGAATTTTTGAAGTAGTTTCTTTGTTGTCAACATTTCACTTCGTTTAATCACCAGGGATGCTCTCAAACTTCTGCAAGAGAAGCAGAAGGGCAAACCCAGTGAATTGAAACCTGTGGTTTCTCCAGCTCCTCCCCAGCTTACTGCAGTGCCTTCTGCTTCACAAGCAACTGCTGTGACTTCTACTTATCCAAGGCCAGCAGTTCCACCAGTTTCCACACCAGGACAGCCTGCTGCACTGGTAATGTTCCTGTTAAGTCTTCAACATTGCTACAGCTAAATATTGTCACGGCTACTCTAAATAGTGAGATGAAATTTCCAGAACTGGAGAGACAAAGGAAACTAAGGGCACCCGGATGCCAAACCCAGTTATGTGCAGTTTTTAGTACATTTGTGTGATTCTAAAGCAGTGTAATTCAAATTGCAGAGCTCTCAAAAGTATGGTCTGCACGCTACTTTGTGTAACTTGAAAGTTGAAGCCATGAAAAAATTTACATTGCAGGCATTGGAAAGGGGAAAGCAGTTTTATTTCAGTCGCCAAACAAGAAGGTGCCACTAGTTTGGAAATCAACAATACACTCTTCCCTCAATCCCTGCAGGATCAGTATGTCAGTGTGCATTTCCAAACTCGGAGAAACTTGAGTTTTCACTTAATTTTACTGTACTTTATTTGTTTACTTTCCTGTTGGAATTTTTTTAAGCAGTCTGCAAGAATAATATAATTCTATACTGCAAAGCGAAATTATATTCTATAAAACCTATTGTGTTGATCCAAGTTAAGTGGAATAGGCTAGAACATTCAATGGTCTTAATCATATTAATTTCAGTAGTTGGAATGTATTGCTTTTTGATATCTAGGGAATATTTGAAGTGAGCAGGAGTCATTGATGATAACGAATCAATGCTGGAGTCCTGTTTCAGCAAAGGGGAAGTAGTTTGCTCTCTTGATATTTAATATGCAGTGTATGATTTGTTCCAGGGCACATTCACAGAAATCCCAGCTAGCAACATCCGAAGAGTTATTGCTAAGAGATTAACAGAGTCTAAAACTACTATACCCCATGCATATGCTGCTGCTGACTGTGATATTGATGCTATTTTGAAATTAAGAAAAGAATTGGCCAAAGGTTAGTGATTAAACTGATTTACTATAATGTGGTACTAATGCATGGTTTGTCTGGTTTACAAAATCTTGCCCAAGAGATGTAGATTTTTGTATAAGCAGTACGCTGTACATTCAAACAATCTTTTTTGGCATTCTGTATGTTGGACTCAAGCTGTAGTTTCCTGTGACTATTGAACTGGACAACTTGTAAAGATATAGGAAGACAGAGGTATTAGTTTGCCAACTAACACAACACTCTAAACAACTGCAATTTAACAGAGGACTATGCATTGTCCAGTAGGTTTTTGTTTCCTTCTATCCAGATGCAGCAATATTTAGCTTCTTCATGGTTAAAATCTGAAATTATTCATGTGAAAGATAATAGGGGAAGCTTCAAATTAAAGCACACTCATGCTCTGTCCTAGGTTAATTTTGTTGTTGGCCTCTTTGAGGCCTCTCAATATATATATGTGTGTGTAAATCGCAGTTTTCATAATGTATCCACTGTGTCTTATTTATACAGAAATGTTTATGTATAAGATTAAGAAATTAAATTTTCCCTTTTTTTATTCACTGAAGTGACTTTTTCAGAAAAGTTCTTGAAGTTTAAGGTCATAATCAAAGATTGTTTTGGTTTTGCTAAAGCTGTTTTTCTTTTTGCTAAAATCAGCTGAGTGTACTGGGTAATAGGATGTTTTAATAGTTTCAAAATTAACTAAGCAGACTAGAATCTTCTTTCACAAATCTCAGGTCAACAAAGTGTATATACATGCATTTAACAAGACGACTTTTCAACAGAACACTCTTCAGGCAGGTACTTCATTTTTATGCAAAAAAATCAAGAAGGTGTTGTTTCCTTCGTCTCTTTTGTTTAATGATTTCTGTTTGGGTAAAAAACCTGAATGAAAATTTTATAATTTTTATTACTTTAACAGAATATTCATAATTCAAATAAATTTTATTGTATATAGAAATATTTGGTCAATGTACTGGTTTTAATGTTGTCTACAGGAAGTGGCTCCAATTTCCTAGTTCATGAAGATATTAAACCGAAGCCTGTGGAAATTCTTTAGGAAAGCATTGTTTTATATTAGGTCAGTTCTTGCAATTGCCTGCAGTTAATAGCATTTTCCCTTCTTTTTTCTTTTTTTTTATTTTTTTATTTTGGTAGCTGGTTTAATATTCTGTGAAGAGGACAACAACACAGTGCAATCTATTTATAAATACTGGTGTCAGAAATATGGAAACAAATGTTTTCATAAAACTTTGACATCCTTAAGTTAATTAGATCAAGCCAGATTTACAGCTGAGTAGATTAGGATTTGTACTAATCTAGGGCATTTTGCTCTTCAGTAACTCACCTTCAGTTAGAGGATTTCCTAAAAATTGTATCTTTTGACTCATAGATATTTAAGCCTGAAGAGAAAAATGTATTTTATAATGTAATGTTTCTTTTTTTCCCGTCACACTTACAAGGCTATTTCCCATTAAATACACATTTTGAACAAGAATTTAAAGGACTGTAATGAAATAAGATCAGAGAGAATTGTTGAGCAATTGCACTATAAGACTGTATTTTTCTCAGCAGGATCATATCCCTGTCACTAATCTGGTAAGCTGTGGAAAAAATGAATGAATTAATTCACTGTCTTTTTTCAGTCACTTATCTCCTAAGCTACTTGGAGAGGTTATAGATATTTGGAGATATTTTTCTTCACAGAAAAGCGGGATTAAACAGTTTAAAACCTGTGCTGCATGTCTCTGCCTCTGTAGTATCTTCATTCCCTCTGATGCCAAATCTTGAGTTATTTTAAGCTGTCCCAATCCACAGATACATTTTGGCACCAGACCTGTAAAACAGTTACACAAGCACAATTGACGTAATGTTGCAAAGTAGTGAACAGTGGCAGCGGGGAAGAGAAACAGGCCTGGTTGGGGGCAGTGCCTGCCTTGGATTTCCTGTTTGTCTGTGGAGAAATAAGCTTTGGCTGCAGCTGTCCAGGAAGAGTTGCTTTCTAGGGAAATCTATCTGATTTTAAGGCAGAACCTGATAAATTAGTCGAGATCATGTATTATGCCTGACCGCAGTATCTATAAGTGATTCTTCTGGTCTTAAGTTTCTATAAAATGTGGAATATTCTTTGCAAAAAATAATATTTACTTCTAGTGTCTGAGGTTAGTAGTATTGTTTATTGAATTGACAGTATCTTATCTCTGCCTAAAATGACATGATATATGTTGTGTTTTTATCTACTGGAAATCAGTTGAGGTCAGTTGATTTCTACTTTATCAGTTGCAGCCAAACTAATTAGGCATAGCTTTTCAAATTAATTTGCATTCTTCTAGAGGAGACATCCCTTTTCAAATCAAATTTGGAAAATATTGTTTACTCTTTCTTTTGATAGGTTTAGCTAATTCTGGTGGTGAAAGAATAATTTATTTACAAAACTACAAAGTTTGTATGCTATTCCAGGCATTAGGATTAACCTCTGCCACTTCCGAAATTTAATTTTCATTTATCATTCATTCCATTTTATGAAATATCATGCAGCCTGAATAGTGTGGAAAATAAGCAAGTAATGAAGTTCTGTTTGCTGGAGGAGACATGCACTAAGTTTACCACTTGGGTAAAAAATTCTGAAGGCACGTTATTTAATGATGAGGATAAACAGAACTTTTTGTTCTCCTGCTATACTTTTTTTTTTTTCTTTTAAGACCAAAGTTTGTTTCTAAAGACATTCATGGGAGTATACTGCTGTCTACACAAGAGGATAATCTCACATGGATTCTTTTGAGTGTTATTCAATTAATCCTTTTTTCTGGTACCATTTAAATAATTTGTTCTCAATAGTTCAGCTTTTAGATGTGTATCCTCATTATTACACCAAGTAGTAGAAATAGAATTAGTAGTGTATGCTGTTTGAGACATTACTGCAATAATGAAAAGTGAATATTTATAGGTCCAAGGCAGTGGCATGTGATACTTCAAGTTTTGTTCTACAGCTTTATCATTGCTATCATGGTTTGAAAGCATTACAGGTTCAGGTTCAAATGATAGTTTTCCAAATCTGTGTGAACTCTGCATTCAGTGTAGCAAAGCAGGATAGTTTAATTTACATTTTTATTGCTGTACTGATGGAGAAACCAAATTCTTTCTTCTCCTTTATTGAAGTATTTAGAGAAGAGTGCGAAAGCTGGGGCCACCTGCTGCTGTGACTTTAACCTGCACAAATTAGGTCCAGTTTTGAGAATGAAAGCTGGGGCCACCTGCTGCTGTGACTTTATTTAACCTGCACAAATTAGGTCCAGTTTTGAGAAATGCTGCATGTTCTAATGTTTAACTGAAGTGTGTGAAACTTAGAGGCTTTTACTTATAGTATCAGGTCACATCCTCGTGCTTGTAAAGCCAGTTAGAGGGGTCTGAAGACTAGCCAAGAAAACTGACCCTAAATCACAAGGATCGTTAGGCTATAAAAAGAGAAAGACAGTTAATCACCTATTATTGCACGTTCACTCAACTTGAGTCATAACATTTTACTGGGCAATTTTTACAGAGGCTGCATGTGATAGTAATACTAAAGAAAAATTTATCATTTAGAATTTTGAATTACCTTTAGCATTTATGTCAGTTTTGAGACTTTAGTTCTCATCAGTCAGTTATTACTTTCAAAGCAAAATATAGTAATGACTTTGAAAAGTAATGAAAGAGTAAGAGGATATTTTTAGGTTAAAGCTTTCTAGGTATTAACTAGGGATATGTTTAACAAAACTTCTGAAAGGATGAAGAACCTAATCCAAGTGGACAAGGAAGAGAGCTTGAAAGATTAATGGGGAGGGGGGTGTGAATTATTACAATGTATTGATGTACATCTGAAGGCTACATTTCTTGAAAATAAGAATGAGGAGGAAATAAGACTAAAGGAAGAAAAGAGGTCGGCTCCAAGGGCTGGTGAATTTCATGGGTACCAGAACCAGTTTTTGAGGTCTGTTCTAGAGGGTGGTCCCCCTGAGGTATGGTTCTGTCAAATTGCAGTAGTTAAGAAGTGTTTTAGGGAAAACTTAAATGACAGCCCGGAAAAAATGTCTTTTTTAAGTTTATTCTTTTATGCATAATTGGAAACACAGTATTTTGATCAATATGATTTGTAAAAATAAAGCTCGGTTTTCATTTGATTCTTCACTGGTAATTGAAATGAATTAAAGCAAATCTGAAAGAAAAAATGTTGGGTTTCACAGAAATGATGAGTCCAAATAGCATTTCAGGTGACCTTTTTGGGGTATCTGCAACTTGATATGTATTTGAGCATCCTAGAAGTAGAAGATTCAGCTTAGACTGACATCAGATAAGAGAAGAAAGGGGGAGGGTGTGTGTGGTTTTTTTTTTTCTAGGTAGCAGCGAGCAGTAATAAAACAGTGTGGTTTTGTGAATATATATCCTGGTGTCACATCCCTTTTCAGTTCTTGAAAGAAGTACTGGGTACTGATCTTTGGAAAATGCATGGGTGTGAATCTTTCATTGATAAGGCACTTGTACAAATGCACAGGGAAGTAAGAGTTGGCATTTCTTGGTATCCCAGGGAGATAAACATTTTGTGTGCCCCTTTGTTCTTAGGTGCAAAGTACTCATTGCACAAGGTGCATTAAATAAGGTCTTTGTAATAAATAATGTGATAGAGAGCAAAATAGGTTTTCTGTCACTCAGGAGTCACGAAATCTAGACTCCAAAGACATAAATACTTCTGATCAGTGACACATTGTGAATTGGTAATCTTAAAGTAGTACTTTTTATTACTGTAGCTTTGGGTGATGAGCCACAAGTAGTTGTTCTTCAAATTATGACAAAATCATTCAGTGATTTGACCAAAAAGTTCTTGGTGCTGTTTACCTATCTTTATTTCTTCTTATAAGTTGGGTTTTTTTGTTTGTTGGGGTTTTTCTAGCATGATAGAGAATATAACAGTAGAACAGGAGTTGAAAGATATCTTTAGCCTTTATGATTTTTGAAGGGGAGTGGGGGGAGGGGGAGGTGGTTGTTTGTTTGTTTTTGAGAAAATGGTATTGTAATTGCCCTAGACAGAGTGCCTAAGTCTTCAGAAGCTTTCTTGGTCCCATCTGTAAATCTTTTGTATGACAAGATTGACTTGACTTTCTTGTCTTCAGGGAAAGGCAGGCACATTAGCAATCCAATATTCACTGTATTCTAGATATAGCTGTAGGCAGGTGGGGTTTTTTTTTGTTGCCTCTGCTCCAGAATGATACTATAGCTTTTACATATGTCATCTCTTACAGCTTAGATCTTGAATAGGGTTCCCCCACTTGAGTTACCTAGATGCTAGTGCTCAACAACAGAATGGGCTTTGATTTACTGAAAGCTTTGCCTCTGGGGCAAGCTTAAAAACCAGCTTTGTTATTGCAGTGCAACATCAAAAAGTATCTTCAAGGTCCAAGTTAAATTTCTTTACATGAACGGATTATCACATGGATGTTAGAAAAGGGTTTTCAAGGTTAACCTAATGAAGTTAGCCTTGAAAGGCTCTGTATACAGAGGCAACAGCTAGGTTTTAGACACAGATTAAGTGTTCATGTAGTGATATGCCTGTCTGACAAGCAAGCTGGTATTCTTTTCTCTTGCCTTGACCCATGTTTTTGTTGATATAACAAAAGATCTGCTTGCAGCCAGGTATTTCTAGCAATTTAGCTGGTGTTGTTTTTTCCTGGGGGTATCCCAACGTAAAGAACTTTTGATGTGGCATTATAGCACCAGACATAAGTCCTCTGGGAATGTTAGGGTACTTTGTAGTCATTTGCTGTTCCCGCAGCTTTACCTTGTGAGCGAATTTTCTCTCAGTTAGTGTCACAGAGTTGTACACCTAGGAACTAGAATGCTGACATTGGAGGGCTACTGTTATGTACTGGTGACTTGCCCACGCTCGCTTATCCATTTGTGAACGTCCTAAATTAAACTAGACTGGTATATTCAGATTTTCTGGATGATAATACATGAGCTGCTTCTCCTTTCACTGGAGTTTTGAATGACTAATTTTTAATGCAAGAGTACCCAGGTAATTTTTCTACCTGATTTTTTTTTTTTTTTTTAATGATCTCTTATTCACAAGTTAAAGTCAAAGACAATTTATAATGTTGATATTTTCTTTGAACAGCAGCAGGTCATAAGAAGTGAAGTAAAAAATTTTCACCTCTCGTGCTGCTGTGGATTTTTAATGAATTTTTTTTTTTAAATGTAGGGGTGGGAAAGAGCCATATGTCTTTGCATAAAATTGAATTGCAGAGATGGTCCTGGTAGGTTTTTTTTTTTTTTTTCCTGATGGAAATAATGGTGGTTTCTGCTACACAATGAGATGTCATGTGGAAGTTTTATGCAGTGTTCCCTAATGTAAGCTTCTTTGTTTTGTGAGTAAAATATAGCAATTATCCCTACTGTAAACTTCAATGTCTGACAGTAAAATATTATCATACAGACTTCATTTAACTGTACTCCTGTATTTTCACTGTATTCCTACCCCCATAGTAGACAGGAACATTTTTGCCAAGGGTTAGGAATGTAATACATAAATCAAAATATAAAATACCAAACTATATTTGATGACCAAGATACAGGTTTGTGTGATTGAAATTCTGTCAATGCAGCATAATACTTGCAAATTCCATTGTTTTACATTAGAATTCTGGCTCTCTTCTTATACGTAGATTGCTAATCATGGCAAATGTTGCAGGTCACTTACGTGGTAAGTGGATACTAGTTCATTCCTCCAAATGCATGATCGCTTAAGGCGGCTTCACTTAGTATAATTATTTATAAATAATTTTCCCTTTACAAAAGCATTTCTAAAGGTATGTGTATTATGTGCCATAAACCAGACTTGAAAATGAAGTAGTTTTGTTTCTTGATCAGTTCAGCTGACATCAGTGATGATGGTGGTAATGTAGCTTTTTTTATTGTGAGAATGATGCATTTAATATTGTGTAAATATCGTGCATGTTCAGGATCATCTTTTAGCAACTGTGGCATATGCTGCATTGTATCTATAGTCTTTGCTGCTTCTGCCAGTCCTGAGTTTAGTTAGTACTTTCTGTCACCTAAAACTTGGAAAAAAATAATGCAGAGCAAATATAGCTGTTGTTTCCATCCTTCTTTTCTCCTGAGCTTTTGGGGAAAGGAAGCAAATGTAGTGTTACACAGTATTTCTTAGGCTCACACTGAAAAAGTCCAGTCCTGTCAAGGTTATTTTATCTGCTTCTGGCTAATGCTGCCTTTTTTGTGAGTAGCTTTGCTTTTAATGTAACAACTTTGTCACTCATATTATTTTGCAGCTTGCTTTAGAATATATTGTTAACACATTTTAAGGATTGACAGATGTCATTACCTTGCTAATTCTGACATTATAAAGCACCAAAGGTCACTGGAGAATAACGTATTTCTGATTTATAGCTGAATAAAAGCTGGTCTCTGCAATTATTCCAGTCATGCATCATGCTACATAAACAGCAGTAGTCTCCAGTATTGTCTTTGTATATTTAGATCCTACAGTAGACTTCTACAGAAACAGTAAATATGTAAAGCATAGAATACATTTGAGCTGCTACTTCTAAGAATGAGTAGTGACACTCAAGTTTGTAGCTGTTTTGACCTTCTTGTAACATCTGGCAAGAATATCTCTGCTCAGGAGACTTTTCCTGGATGATAATCCTTTTGTCCGAAGAGAGAGAAAGGTTTGCTTTTAGGATTGTAGTTTGAAGATCAGTTACTTTCTGGCAATGTTTCAAAGAAGCAAATCTACTAAATCATGGGAGTCTTGTCATCACACAAATACTGATAAACAGATCTTATGAGCAATGATTGTTCTATTTTTTTTTTTCCTTTTTGCAGATGATGTTAAGGTATCTGTAAATGATTTTATTATCAAGGCAACCGCAGTTACTCTGAAGGTAAGTGAATAATTGACTTTAAAAAAAAAAAGTTTTATTATAAACTGCCAAAGAGACAAAAGGGGTATTTTGTGAGCCTATATAGAGATATGAATTCAATCATACCAAAAATTGTAATTCTTTATCACCTACTGTCAGGTTTTTTTAAGCTCTCCAGGTAAGATTCTCTACACTCTATGGGCTAAATGCTTTGTCAGCAGACTAAAGCAATTGGCAAGATAAGTCTTCTATTCTTTCCTGTTGCATTTTCTGTTACAGTTATAAACAAATATTTATCCAAGTCTCATACCAGTCTTGTGTATCACCTCAGATGTATTTTGATGGTGTGTTCAGTGGCCTCTGTTTTGAATTAAAAATTCTTGAGGCAACCAATCTTTGCTCATTGCTAAGAATTGTCATTGTTCCCTTTGTCAGTGTAAAAGTTAAACAATTTCAATACATCCTGAAGTTAAGATCTTAAATTTCATTAGGGTCTACTTATTCCATACTGAACTGCAGAGGCTTCACAGTCTCCGTAAGCTATTTGCGTGTTCTCTGGGTACAACTGGATATATTGCCTTCCAGTTTGTGCTGATTGCTCTACTTGGAAAACACTCCCAGTGCCAATTAATGTTTTGAAACTGAAAGGTTTCAGAGATCCTTCTTTAGGAGAACTCCCACACCTTGGATCTGTCTCCTCTTAGTCCAGAGTGTCTCAAATGCAATCACTTGGAAAACATAATGTGAAATTAATCTTCTTTCCAAAGCTGTGAAAGGAACGAACTGTGATGGTTTCACATAGATGTGGAGTGGTTTTGGTTTAATTTCAGTTTGCACTTAATTTTAGATAGGTGGTCATTGATGGGAGCTCTGGCCAGCCTGAAGGCCAGCATTTTCAAGGTTCAGGAGGAAATAGTGTCTTTTAGTGAGCAGCTGGAAAATATTTCTGTCATGTAGAAAGATAATTAAGGGGAACACGCTCTTGACCCTCAGATTATCCTATGGATTTTGCCCTAGTCATCAAGGCAATGTACTTATGTGTGACAATGAATGAATGCAGATTTTGAAGCAGTTTGGTATTGCCATGGATTTGTTACCTATACTTTCTTGATGGTACGGTGATCACACCTTCTGACTATATGGTAAATGCCTAGAAAAGCTAAACTCTTCTGATATCATTGCATCATTTGAGCAGCAGGTTGTAAAAGCTACAAACAGATAAGATAAAGCAGAACAAGATCCAGACTAGTTGCATTACCTCACAACAGTATAAAAACATCAGAAAGGGAATGAGAGCCATTTTGCTCATTTACAAGGATTATTTTAATTATTCAGTAGCTGAAGGAGGAAGTTATTAAGTTGGGGAACTGTTCTCATGGGCATATAGAATTAAGAGACAACACTGCACTTGAATGGACATGAGAAATTTTTAGCCAAACATGATCTAATTATTAATGTATATTGCAAGAGCTATAGATTTTTGACAGAAATTAGGCAGAATTCTAGGCAGTTACATAAGCAAGTGCCTGAGAGAAATTCTGGGCATTGGATAGACTGGAGAAAACTTTCCAAGTTATTCTATACCAGAAACAGAAGGAGAAGCTAAATATGCTTGCTATGCATTTGCTAGATGTGAACATAGCAAGAAGCTTCTTTTTTTGTGGCCTAATGGGACCTTATGCAAGGAAATGGTGACATCCAAAAATTACTGTGAACTGCTAGCTGCAAGTGTGAGATAACAAATCTCTGCACCGGAGAGCGAGAGCAGGTGACAGGAACAGGAGACAGATAGAGGAATGTAAGATTAGGTTTTGTGTTTTTCTCTTCTACACAAAAAAAGACGAGTCAAGAAAGATAATGGGATGTAATCCTAGTTTACAGTTTGTCTATATGTGAAAGAATGACTTGAATACAAGCGTTCAATGTACTTTTTATTACTTCTGCTTGTATAAGATGATGTTTTTTGGTTGTTGTTTGTGGGTTTTTTAAATTGTTGCCTGAAACTTAAAAAAGACAAGTAGCTTCCTGTCCATTTAACTCTTAGGCTGCTTTACTGTACTTTGAAGGACTGTACATATGGATTATGCATGTTGTTTGTTGCCATTATTTAAAACAAGATTTTCTTATCTGCCATCACAAAATGACCTAATCAATGAGTTCCGTAAATATGATTTCTCTTTCTGATATACAAATAAAAATATTTAGTATTCTTTTTCCTAGTATTTTCAGCTGACACTTATACTACAGAATTCAAATCTTGAACTTGAGGATTAGATAGTTCTAGCTGTGAGCATGAGAAAGTCCTCTGTAGCGTGTCCTTTTTAAATTTCTTAAAGGAAATTGAATAGACAAACCTAGTAAATGATAATGCATACAGTTTTGTAAAATCAATGCATTTTTCACTATAAATGAGTTGGTGTTCCAGGTCTGATTCCGAGAAGCTGGAGTTTTTGTGCATTGGGTTAGAAGATACTGAGGTGGTTTGTTTTATCTGGGTTTCTTGTTTGTTTTTTATGGGGCATTAATACTGTATTTAAATAGAAGTAATCATGAAACTATTCTGTCCTATCCTATTGCTTTGTTAAAAATCTATGCTAGCATTTGTTTGACTATTAAAATAATAAATGAAAAAAAAATTTAACTCAGTATACCAGGAAATAAATGATCAAGCTCATGTCTCAACTACTTTCTGTCAGTGTTTCAGGAAAATATGTGGTGTGAATACATCTGCAAGTTTCAATAAAACTGCCTTGAATTTACTCTTTTCCAGGCACTGTTCAGATAGTATTCTGTTAATATTTTCTTTCTGAACAGTGCAAGATGTGCTCTTCTAGCTTGAATGAACTGACAGCAGCTGGTTGGACAGTTTGTGATTGGTTGGAAAACATCTCAAGATACTGCTTGTATCAGTTCTTTAACATGCTAAATTTCTCCTTCATGGTTCTTAGGATCACAAGTCCAATTATGAATTCTGCTGTTTGACTTAGTCTCACCATTTGACAGCCAGAGGTTTGTGAATGTGCTCACCAGATGATAGCCCCTTAGAACAATTCTGGTTTTCTGGAACAAGGAGGGAAGGAGTAAGGTTGGAGGATTGGAATGAAAGCTTCCAGGCTGATAACCACAAGTGGCTGGGCTTAGTAACAACAGCCTTTATAGCAGCCACCCTTTCAAAATAAACAGTCTTTCATTGCTGAAGTGATGGGAGAAATAATACTGTCTGGTCTACATCAAAATTAAGACTATTCTAATCCTATCGAACTTGATAGGAGAAACTCCTTGTCCCTACCATCTCTTTTGGATACCTTATATAGAGTCATACTTGCACAACACCCTTTTGAAGGCATCTTACAACTGTGTATACTGTGGGACTTTCCTGAAGTTTATTTAACTGGCAAAGAAGAATGCTACAATTTTTTTATTTTATTTTTTTTAAATATACATTCTAGTGTTGAAGAATAGGAACTGCTTTTTCTAGGAGTGGAGTTAGTTAGATAGAGGTAGTGTGTCCCTGTACTTTTTTTCTGGAATACCTTCTCCACTATGAAGTCAACTTCCTAATTCCTAATTTTATTAAGGTCACTACTACTCTTGGATTTATTGGAAATAGTACCTTCACAGTATCTATGACCAGTTACCTGAGACTTCACCTATATGTTGGGTTTTTTTTTTCCCCTGAGCTGTTTCAGCTTTGTATGGTAAACTCAAAAACCTCATTGAAATTATCAGTAAACATTATCTCAATTTTAATTGAGTCCACCAAAAAAAAAATCTGATTTATTTTAGGAGAACCTCATCTGAATAACAGCGAGTTAACAGTGAGTGTACCTGCAGCATACTCTGTTCGTAGCTTCCTTTGTTGAGATTCATGCTTGAGACATGAGTGGAAAACAACACATGAATGTAGTAGGATGTCCATTTCCATGCTTTTTAAGTCAGTATCCAGTGATTTATTTGGGGGAGAAATGACACTGCTTTGTAGCTTTGCATGCAGGGCGTCCGTAAGGTGATATCAGTGACTCCTGAAGGAATTTGTAGGCTTCTGTTAAATTTTTTTTTTTTCCAGCAGCCCCAAAAAACCTTCTGGCTGCCCTGCCATTTTCAGTTCCTGGAGCATACATTCATGCTTTTTGACAAAATAAGTTTAAATAAAATAAAATAAATGCAAGATAATAATGTACATCTAATCTTAGACCCTCACAGTGGGTTTTTTTTGTCTTGCTTGTGGCAGTCCTGATGACAGATGTGACCCGTTCTTTTGCCTTTATTTGCAGACAGCAGTCTGTGATGCACTAATTAACTTGGTGAATGCCTGTATGTAGCTATGTGTCTTAAAGGATTTTCCTTTTTCTTGATAATTGTTTGTGCCATTGTTTTTTTTAACAGCTGTCTTTTTTTACTCTCTCTCTCTTCTAGCAAATGCCAGATGTGAATGTGAGCTGGGATGGAGAAGTGTGCAGGCAGCTGCAATCCATTGACATTTCAATTGCCGTGGCAACAGACCGAGGTCTCATTACACCAATTATAAAAGATGTTGCTGCCAAGGGAATAAAGGAAATTGCTGCCTCTGCAAAGGTAGGTCTTAAATGTACGGTAGGCTGAGGAATACAGTAACTATGTGGGGTTTTTGTAGCAGAAAATGTAGCATGACCCAGATACACATCAGTAATAACAAAGGCAGTTTCAAAATGGACCTAAAGCAGTTTCAGCATTCCTTAGACTTCAAAATTATTATTAATTTTGCAACTATTCATTTTTAATTAACAGTAGCTTAGCAATCATGTTATTTAGTTGAGTGCTGGCTAGGTTGTTTGAAAAATAAAACTGTACAGACTTCTACAATTTAATGTAGTTGTACTTCTTTATCTGGCTTTCTCATGAGGATTAATGTTGGGGGTTTTTTTTTTAGTATTTTCAGTCTGGGTTTGAGATTTTGTTTGAGAGGGTTTTTTTTTTCCCCCTTTTCCCAGAAATTTGCTCGTGTTACTCTCTGTGCAGTTGCATTATGGCACTTATTTCTGTCTGCACTTTTTCAATTTGCAGTTCAGTTGGGAGTGTCACCCAAAAGGTAACATTAAACTCCTCAGACTAATAAGCAGTATTTTGCATAGATCAGGTGCCAGTTAGTGACTTGAGTGTGTGGCCATTTGTTGCTAGCCACAGAACAAGTATTTTATGGCAGGCAAAAATACAATGAATTGTGAAATGCCCCCAACACAAGCCTTTTTTTGTCATTTAATGAGCGCTAACCAAAGGCCTACAGCATCTGAGGAATGCAGTAGAAGTAACTGCTAGGGCATAACACTGTCCCAAAACTAGACACGAGCTGCACTTTCTCTTTTGCTGAAAACTACAGAAATTGTAGTCTGTGTTGGCAGAGGGGAATAACCAACAAGGTTGCAGCAGAAAAAGGCATATCATGCCTCGAAATATTAATAATTGCATGTTTTTAAGATTTTTTTCCAGGCCATGTTGCTTGCGTCATGTTGAATATGTTACAAATCCTTTTACCAGTGTAATAGCCAGCCAAGGAGGAAGGTCAGCTGAGACTGTTACTTTATTATGTGATTAGTGGTAGATTGACAAGAAGGAAAGCATTATGAGATGTGAAGTGTAGTCTGTGCTTTCACTATGATCCTCAATACCTGTGATACTGTGATGCAGTATTACAAACATCTTTTACCATAAATTAGTGTCCTCAAATTCCCATGATGGGAATGTAGGTTTGCATTATGTTTAATAGGGCTATGATAAAGTAAGCATTCCCCTTTCATTTCTAATGGAATGTGTGTAACATAGGTCATGCTACTCAGTATGAAGGTCATTGGGTCACATAGATTGCAGCTGTCCCCACCAACATAATTTTGCTTTTCAACTTTTTCACTGCATCACTGAAATAAGTATGGTACCTCACATGCACATGTGGGAGGCACTAACTGAAACTGCAGCTGCTTCTCTACCACTCTCCCTGTAGTTTGGCAGGAGCTTTCTTTGTGTAGATAGCTTGTATGTCACCTTCTGCTGCATGTTAATTTTAACTTCTTTCCAGGTCACGTGCATCCTTGCACCATATTTTTATCATTCAACTAATGCAATTGCACATATACATATTGACCCTATTATGTGAACAGTGTTCCCATGGCTATTGTCTTCTGGTTCTCTAGTTATTCAGAGATAAATAAAACCCTAAAATAAAATTCAGTGTATCCTTCTAATTTTTAACTTCATAATGAGGGTGTCAAAGTTTTTTGTAAAATTTGGTGTAAGCTTGAATTATTTAGTGGGCGATTCATTAGAATGAGGTTCTGTTAAACTCCTTCATGTTTATTTCTAAGCTGAAGTCATTGCAGTCATTAAACTACTGTGGCCTTTCAGAACTTGCCTGAAAGTTGTTTGGAAACGTGTACAGGGAAGACAGTTGTTTACCATGACCAACAGAGTTATATACAACATGAAAGGGGATTAATCCATGTTACAACTACTAACCAACTCATTATCTGTACAGAAGTTTATCTTGTAATGATTCTACCTCCACCCACAAGCAAACAAAAAGAAGTCAGTTCAGCCATAGTTTCCACTTACTGATACTGGTGCTTAAAGACAGGGGTGAGGTTTCATAGAAATTACCTCTTGGTAGATTGAATTGAGTGCTTGACAGGAACGTGTGTAGAAAATCCCTGAGAAGCAGAACAGGCAATTCCTGGAAAGCAATCTAGAAATTAAAAATAAAAAGTGACTTCCTAGAAAGAACATGGAAAAAATCCTAGAAAACAGTGGTAGAATTCCTAAACAGGGAGTGGAAAATTCTTAAAAAACAGAGGGGATTAATGGAATAATGTTCTTCAAGAAGGTTTCACAAATGTGATAGATCACTTTTTTCATGTTGTGATGAGGTAGGTTTTTTGACTTTTATTCACTTCCACTGAAATTTCCCTAACTTAATTAAATGATTGGAAACTATCATTAGTTTTATTATTTTTACCAGAAGAAGGAAAATAAAAACTGACTGTGGTGCTTTTATTGGTCTTCCCAGAAGCAGATCTGAGTCTATCTCGCTGTCTGTGCTTTTGGAAACAGTTATTTTTGTCTTATGTCATAATGCTGCCATTGTCACAATGTGACATTTTCCATGTGCTTTTCCATCTGTGTAAAAAATATGATAGAAGCTAAAACCACTAAATGTATTCTCCATGAATGGGATAGATCATTTCTCCTGCATTTATTCCCACTTCAGTCTTTGCTGTCAGTTGAAGACCATGTCGTTTTGAAAAGGTTGCTAGTAATGGAGAAGTCACCCAACACATTTCCAGTCACCACCTTTTCCATTGGGTACTCACAGGGTGTTAGGAATTGGTTGGTGGCTGACTAACTGGCTCTTGACCCACCAGTGAGTGCCATTTCTCTTGAGGTCCATGCAGTCCCTTCTTCCTTATGTGACAACTACTGTAAGAATTAATCATCCCGATTCCCACTCCTTCCATCTAAGGAAACCTCTGGGCTAGGAAGATCCTAGGTGGGGATAAGGTTCTTTTTCTCTGTGATCTTATCTTAGAACATAGTATGAACTTCTTGGGCTGTATTTTGAACAAAACATTTGTGAATGGTTTCTTCTGTTACATTTAGAAGTAGGAAACTCTCACAAATGAAATGGAGGTCACAGGAAGGTTGGTCTCTGAGGTAGTTGAATGCTTAGCAGGAAGAAATACATCCTCTCATTCTGCTAGAAAGTTCTGAAGTGGTACATGGCAGTTTCTTTAAACAAATATGTTAAGAATACTGTGCATTTGTCTAATCAGTATTTTGTTAGCTATTTTTATCATCTAAAATCGCCAGGGAGAATGGTGGTTTCATTGTGAAAACTGGAGCAACGCTTGTAAGGTGAGAGACTGGCTTTTTTTGAACAGCCAGTATCATTGGGCAAATGAAGTTTTGTGTCCTAGTCTTGTTGCCAAATCGTTGCAGCTACAGCAACAATGTTGCTGATGTGCTTCCCTAATCCAAAAGCAGATGACTTTTTAATGGCTGTGTGATACTTACAATGTCTTACTGAAGTAAAAAGAGTTAGTCTATTAGAACACTTAAATTTGTTTCCTCTGTCCTTTTTCTTTTTTCATTTTCCTTAGGCTCTAGCAAAGAAAGCAAGAGATGGAAAACTGTTACCAGAAGAGTACCAAGGCGGATCTTTTAGGTAAAACTCTCTAGCAGCATTTTAATACATGCAGTGTGGGTTCAGAACTGGTTTATCCTCAGCTATTCTACTGTGTGTTAATACATTGCCTTTTAAAATCTTGCTCTGTTTATGATGAAACTCCATGTGGTGATTCTGAGGGCCAAACCTGGGCAGAGTGTCCTGTATAAGGGGGAAACAATTTTCTTGGTAAAGGTTTATTTCATCTCAGCCTGGTGTGAGATGGTTGGTGGTTTTTTTAGTTGGGTTGGTTTTTTTTTTTTTTTTCGAATTGCATTCTGTAGTTAGGAAAACCCATTGATAATAGTTCTAAAATAAATATTTTTAAAGGAGTTGTTTGGCAGAGGTATCACAGCAGACAGTGATGTCCAGTTTGTCTTCAATTCACTCTTCAGAGGAATGTCTCTAGAGGGGCAAAAAAAAAAAGGTTACAGCAAAGTTGTGTTACGTCTTACAGTTTACTTTTAACTCAAACATTAAAAACTGAGTAGATCAATTTTAAATAGTAGCATATATCTAGTAAATATTTTTTTCTCTAAAATGTACTCTGCAAAAAGAGCTGGTGAACTTGGTGGTGAGAAATAAATGGCATGTGTAAAACCAAGTATAGCTGTAGTGATACATTTACACAATTAATTTCTCACCTGACTTTTTACACTTGCCAGGTTTCTAAAATTTTTAATGTACTGTAATTTTTGTGACACATTGTCAAGCAATATTTTTTGTTATATAAACTTTAGCCTTACCTCACTTTTTGGTTTGGTTTTTTTTTTTTTAAAAGCTAATTCTGAATGCTTATGTTAATCATATCTTCTAGAATAGATAATTTGTGATGAGAGTAATACTTCAGGCTCCTGCAGAAACATTGCTGTAATGTATATTAGTGTCCCTGCATTGCAACTGTCTGGAGTACGTGGCTCTCATGCTGGAGGAGTGGTCAAAAAAATCTCTAAGCCTTTCAGCAGAAAAAAATATATGGAAATCCAGTGTTGGAGGCTTGGATATCTTTATCAACACAAATGGCCCTGAGTGTGAATAACTGTGGGCATTTAACTGGTAACAGATGGCAGTAGTGAGATAAGCCCAAATTGTATCACTTCATTATCAGGAGCCATTGTAACTTAAAGTTGTTAGGTTCAATCTAAAAGACATTTGGCTTTGAACAGGGACAGGCAAAGTTTATTTGAAGATATCACTTTTTATTGTCTTACCTTCAGCCTTTAGTGCGTGCAATGCAAGGATATATTACTGTGAAGAAATGGGACTTCAAAAAAGGTGTATTAGTTGTAATTGCAAAAATCCCAAACCCTTGAGAGTCTGAATGTGCCCAGCTGAAATTCAGTTCAGATCTATTTTAAAGTTAATCACTTGCCTTGGAGAGAATTAGGTCATAGTAGTCATTGAATATAGATTATTTCTTCTGGGGATATATAATTTCTGACATTACGGGTAACTCTTTTCTCTTTCCTTTAGTATCTCCAATCTGGGCATGTTTGGTATCAATGATTTCACTGCAGTCATAAACCCTCCACAAGCCTGCATCCTAGCTGTGGGCCGAGCAAGACCAGAGCTCAAGATTATTGAAGATGAAGAAGGGAATGAGAAACTTAAGCAGCATCAACTCATGACAGTGACTCTTTCAAGTGATGGTCGGGTGGTAGATGATGAACTGGCTTCAAAGTTTTTGGAGACGTTGAAAGCCAACATAGAGAATCCATTGCGACTTGCCTTGTGTTAAACTCAGTGAGGATTGCTTCTTGTTTTGACAACGCGGATAACTGTATGTGTTTGGGGTTGTTTTTCTGTATAAAGGAATAAATAGTTACTGTGAGATGAAGAGTTAAAATATTTAATTTATTGAATTAACATTAAAAGCTATTAATTTTCACTCTTAGTCTTTTGCAATGACCAGGTATTATCCTGTAAAGCTAAAAGGTTTTCAAATTAACATACGACATTTCTTTAAACACTTAGTAGTAATGGCACATAATGTTTGCATAAAAAAGTCAATCTTCTCTGTAAAGGAAAAGTAAAGTAAACTTTGTGAAATTAAATGGGAATCATAGAATAGTTTGGGTTGGAAGGCACCTTTAAAGGTCATCAAGTCCAAGCCCCCTGCAACAAGCAGGGAGATCTTCGGCCAGATCAGGTTGAACCTGATCATGTTGAACCCCATCCAAACTTACCTTGAATGTTTCCAAGGATTGGGCATCTACTGCACTTCTCTGGGCAACCTGTTCCATTCTTTCACCACCTCCATTGTGGGGGGGAAAAAAAAAAAAAAAAAAAAAATTTCTTCTTGATACCTCTGCCAGAAAAGTCTTCTAAAACCTGAAAAACTTTCTATTGCAGAAATGTAACTTAGCTACTCAGCTATCTCAGCATTGACCAGGACTCATAGCAGCACTTTGCTCAGTTATGATTCATGCTTTCCCTCACTCTAATAGCTACATATTTAGCCCTTAAGTAAAGCATCCCATCTAAGCACAGGAACACCTGGAGCACTGCATTCAGCTCTGGAGTCCTCGGTACAAGACAGACAAGGACCTGTTGGAGCAGATTCAGATGAGGACCACAAAGAAGAATGGAACACCTTTCCTACAAGGCAAGGCTGAGAGAGTTGGGGCTGTTCTGCCTGGAGAAAAGAAGGCTCCGGGGAGACCTTATTTCAGCCTTTCAGTACTTAAAGGGGGCTTATAAGAAACACTGGGACAAACATTTTAGCAGGGCTTATGGCAATAGGACAAGAGGTAATGCTTTTAAACCGAAAAGAGGGTAGATTCAGACTAGGTATCAGGAGAGCTTCTCATCTAGTACTATAGTGTGTCATGAATTGGAAATAAATAGCTATTATTTCCTCTACACTGAAGGTTGCTAATAAGCAATCGAGCATTGCCATTTAAGAAGTGTCCTAGCACCTACAATTTCCTGTTCCCCAATACCCCTTTGTAGACAGCTATTTGCATTTCTGTTTTTTTGTTCAAAGAGGTATTGGATTACACGTGAGCAGTCACATAATACTTGTTTGTTTCAGTGTTCAGTGACTGAATGATTGTTCAGTGTGTGTTCTTAGGTTTATGGTTATGATGATGGTTTTTAATTTTCCTTGAGGTTTCTAAGTATTAGCTAAATGATAGTCCAATCAAATGAGATTAATGTTTGATAACCCTTCTGCAGTAATTTAAATGTTCTCATCCTTCCTTTTTAGTCTTTGTGTACTAGGTTAAGTTTTAGAAACTTCTAATTCATGAAGGTTTCCTTTTTTAGTTCAGGTAAATGATAGTTGAGTAGAGATTTCTCTGTTGGTTTTAAGAGGCAAGGCTGAACCCTTTGAGAATGTGTCACTTAAATTTAAGTCCTAACAATCATTTAAAAAAATATGCCAGCTAGATACTGTTCTTGCGGAAGGAGTGTATGTAAGGTGAGTATGACATTGATCTCAAGATGCAAGGAAGATGGGCATTGCTGCAGTAGCTTTGAAGGATGTTAGGACAATAGAGAAGTGTCCTCAGTGTGTCTCCTATCAGTTTCCTTTCTGATTATAGTAATGTAGCATGAAAAATGAAATGTTGTTCTACAGTAAAATGCATGAACTATGCTTTTTTCTTTTGCTGTATTTTGTAAATTACCATAAATATATGCATATTTATCCAAAACTTGTTTCCAAGAAAGTGTATTAATCAGCCTATTAATCTCTTCACATAGAGCTTTTCACTGACCCATTCTTCAGAAAAGAGAATCAAGGTACTGGTGTACTCACTGGTGGATTTGCTTGGTGGTGCCACTGTTTTCGATTGTTTCAGTCAATGGAAGACTTGTTTTAAAGGGAAAACTGAAATACAGAAAGGCCAGCAGAGGGCAGACTGAACAGCCTGGTTTTCTGACTTTCTGTGTGTCTCTTAAGTATAAACATAGTCACCGAACAATTTTAGTATGTAGATATTCTTGAATTTAAACTATGGTTTGATGTTTTAGTGTTTGGTTTTGAAGTGTTTCAGAAAGCACCCGACATGAATAAAGAAGGAATAGTAAACACTAATTTGCCTTGATCTGTTGGAATTAGGATCAGACAGAAATCTTGGTCACTATATGGCACTTCCTGCAGAACTGGATCATAGAAACATAGAATATCTCAAGTTGGAAGGGACCCATAAGGATCATCGAGTCCAACTCCCTGCTCCTTGCAGGACTACCTAAAACTAAACCATATGACTAAGAACTTTGTCCAGAAGTTTGGTGCTTCCCTGAGGACCCTGTTCCAGTGTCCGACCACCCTCTCGGTGAAGAACCTTTTCCTAATGTCCAGCCTGAACTTCCCCTGATGCAGTTTCGTTCCTTTTCCTTGTGTCCTGTCACTGGTCACCAGAGAAAGAAGATCAACACCTTCCCCTCTGCTGCCTTCCTTGAGGAAGTTGTAGACTGAGATGAGGTCACCCCTCAGCCTTTTCTTCTCTAAGCTGAACAAGCCAAGTGACCTCAGATGCTCCTCGTAAGTCTTACCCTCAAGACCTTTCACCATCTTGGTCGCCCTCCTCTGGACACACTCTAACAATTTGATGTCTTATATTGAGGCACCCAAAATGTCCCACAGTACTTGAGGTGGGGCTGCACCAGTGCAGTGTGGAGTGGGAAAATTAGCTCTCTTGACCAGCTAGCTATGCTGTGCTTGATGCACCCCAGGACGTGGTTGGCCCTTTCGGCTGCTAGGACATGCTGTTGACTCATACTCAATGACAGTTTATTCCATTTGTCCCTAAAATGTTGAAGGCATAGAGAGCAGGTTCTGCTAGGTCAGTATGGCAATTACATCCATAATAGATTAAACAGAAAAAAAAAAAATCAGTTGAAAGTACCTTTCAATATGTTCTTAGTAAGCATAAGTTTTAAACTTAGAACCTCTTGTCATTTCTTTCTTTGTAATTGTGGTTGCAAAGCAGGAGGATATTCAGAGTGGCCTGCTGGAGATTTGTAGAAACATGCTAACCAGTAAATGTTCTAAGAAACACAGAAACTTAGGATTTGGGTGATGACTCACGTGTTGATTAAACTGGGGTGCAAATAATTTACTGGAAGCTTGACTGGCTACTTTGTGTGGTTGCTTTACAAAATCTGCCTAACCTGTATCAGTGAAAAGCCATCACTGTTCGCTTGAATTCAGTTTGCCCTCCTTCCCTTTGACATCAGTTTTGCTTTGACTTGTGGGTATCACCGGATGATTATTCAAATACAATAACCATATTGTTCTTCCCTCTTTCCACAATAATTGTCCTACCTGGCAAGTTAAACATTTGAGTCATTATGAGAAATAACTAGCTGGAAAATGACAGACGTTTCTGTTTGTTCATTATCCATACCAAGGAAAATGATTCATCCTTTGTTAATGAATACCACTATTTATCTCCTTTAAGATTAGAGATCAAGAGAAGATTCTCTTTTATACCTTAAAAGTTTCTCTCATGTGCCCTGGACCTAGATAGGAAGAAAGGGCAGCTGTGAACACTTTTATTTCTGCTCGCTGTTGTATGAAGAATATACTGAATTGTTAGCACAGCGGATCTTCTCTCCTACGGTTTCATGACTTTTGCATTGCCTATGTAACATTAATCACAGTGTGTTGTTCGCTTCACTTTGCAGGAATCCAAGCAACTGAACCTTGTAGGTCAACCTCTGTTGACCTAGTCATCGACCAATTCCTGTTTCAGCTGCCTAGCTTAAGAAAATAGGTGTAATTGTGTTTCATTTTGCAACTTTGGTGCACTTTTAATTTCTTCCCTGCCAAATAAATCATAAGCCTAAGTGTCTATGGAGGCTGTTTGCTTGTGCAGGTGCTTATGCTTGCTGTGTCGCGTCCCAGTCTCCCTTAGCAGCGTGCACGGAGTTTCTCTAGGTTTCAGCAGAAAGCATCATGCTGTGTCCTCTTCCTTGTGTGGAAAATAGGAACTGTAACTGATCCCTTGGTCATCAAGAAAGAAACTCTTCTTATGCTCTTCCAAAGTGTGAGATTTCTGTCTTACAGTGTAAATTTCAACCAAATATTCTGAGTGCAATACGTTGCTTACTCACTTGCTTGTTTTGGCAAGGATTCTAGAGCACCTTTACTATTCACTTAGTACTATTCACTTATAGTATAGTACAAGCAATATACAGGTTCAAATGAAAATAATATTCACACTTTTCCCCCCCAAGAGTATTTAGAGAGACAAGTTATGTGCAGAATTATTTTTGAGTCAATTCACAAATGAATTAGTTGTGCCTATAGAAATCTGTCAGATGTTAAGACATCTTGCATTTCCCTGTTGACAAGTATAGAAGTTACACTTTTTCAGGCAGATCAGTAGTCTTTTCTCTGTCCATTCCTATTTTGAACCTAATCTAGCTATAATAGTCTGCAAAGCAGGTGATGTCTTACTCAAGCGCATAACAAGGGCTAATCATTCTCCCAGCCTGGAACAGAAGAGACATTTTGGGATGCGCTAAATTATCCTAAAAAATGCTCTAAGGCACCTCCTTGGCTACTTTTCCTATATATTTGTGTGCTATCTGACAGGCTCCAACCACTCTGACAGATACAGAGGAAGGCCACAAACCGAGTCTAGGCCCTCTTACTGAAACGGATGATACTAATAAAGGAAATGTGATTATTCGCTCCTTTTCACAAGGTTTTTGTTAATAGTGCCATTCCAGTGCTTTTAGCCACACTGCAGCTAGTTTCATTGACTGTAAGACGAAGGAAAGGGTTGCAGTTTTACCACAACAGAACTACTGTTTTGTTAATACTTCTGTTTCCAAACAAGACAGCTTTTCCCTACTGTGTGCTGACAAAATGACTGTGTTAATCATTAGTCTGTGTCTCTCTTAGCTTTAGGAGGGAAGAACATTGCTTTAGAAGGTCAATGCTCACTGTTTACCCGGGGATTAGCAATTGCCAGTAGCACCGATGCCGCTACAAACTTAGGAAACTAAATTGACCTATCAGGAGCGTCTTAAATATTACTCACATGGTTTAAATATTAAGTGAGATCAGAGCTGAGAGAGAGAGGTGTTTTAGCCAAAGGCTACATTTCAGCAATTGCAGGAAGGTGACTTTGTTTTGGAAGATAATCCCTATTGTGCTGGGTAGAAAGGAAGTCAAAAGAAAGTAGTTTTTTCACCTGTACTTGAACATCTTCCTTTGTATAGCATTATATCTATTTAATTGATTATCAAGGAACACCTGGATTTTTTTAAGCTATAAAGTATAAGCAGTTGAGCTCTGTCCAGGTAATTGTCTTAAGCAAACTCTGAATGAAGTAGTACTTCAAAACTTTAATATTCCATAACACATTTAAGAAAGGGAATTTTACTTCTTGGACCTCTTTTTAAAGCATGTGTGCATATATTGCCTGTGCATCCATATATCTCTGTATGTGCTGAGATTGACTGGTAAAGAGGACCAGTTGCTATTTCAACCACATTTGTTGAAGCCTTTCAGATTCGGGCTGTGGGATGAACAGAGACAGGCTTCTGAATTCCCCTGCTGAGACTTCAATGTTTCTGCTTTAATGTATGCATGTCAGTGGGTGTGTATATAGGTACAACACTGGGGGAGGCCTAAGAGAAACCTGCCCTGATGTCATTTGAAGAAAGTAATTTCAACATCACATCTGTTGCTCAAACGCAAGTGATGAGACAGTTGAAATGACAGATAGGAGCAAATACTCTTGGCTAAGAGATACCCTGAGAATCTGCGAAACAATCTTTGGGTGAACAGGCAGCTTTCCCGTATACGTACCTCGTCACAGTATTTTGGGGGGATGTGGTGGTGGAAAAGTTGCCTTATGTGAGAATAATGTGTCTAGTGCTCTTGAGAGGTTTTTAACATTTATTTTTGTTAAAAAATAAAAGGCAGTCAAGTAACCAAGAATAAACTGTAACTGTTGCAGAGTGCTTTATTAAGTTTGTTGATAAATCTATGAATCCAGAAAGGGATATTCTAGCAATCACATTGTATTAGGACTGGTTTAGGCATAGGCTAAGCCATTATTTTCTCTGCACTTTTCTAAAACTGAGTCCTAATTTAATTTTTAAGCTGTTTAATGTAGTAATTGTCTGCTTGTGGATGTGCGCTTTATCTGACTCAGTAGTGTGCGTGTGTATACCATTTGTATCAAAGTAACAAGTTGTGGATGGCGATTACTAATTTCTAATATCAGAATTGACTGGACAGGCATCAATGCTACAGGAAATGCCATCTATTTAAAAAAAAAACGCAACTACTGAATAGCCATATTAGTGGGCAGCGCTTGCTCCACTGAAATAACAGTCTGGCTGACTAGTGACAGCAAGCAAGAGAGATTAGGACAGGAAACTAACTCTGTAGAGAACTCAGTGGCAAAAGTACTCTGGATTTTTCATATCTAAAGACCTGTGTGTGTATTTGGTATGGGTTTTTTCAGTTTTCAGATTAATTAAACAGAAAATTTTAGGTTTGTCTTGTTAAGTGACAATTCTTAGCCATACCAACCAAGTTCTAATTACAAACTCTAGAATACATTTTTCTGACTCTGGAAATTTTAGGGGTTTCTTCTGAAGTTTTTGTGATTTTAAAAATAATGTTTTCATGTGACTTGCTATTATTCTTGTGGTTATTTAGAGTGCTTGACTGGAGTTTCATACGCGAACAGCAGATTAAACAATTAGAGATTGTGATTTCTTTTTTTTGCTTAAGGTATGCAACCGCTAGATAAGTGTTCTGGAGTAGATCCCCAAATCACAAATGCTACAAAATGTAAAGAGAGCCTTTTTCTAGGCTCTCAACCAGGGAGATCTAATTTTCTTTTACTCAATTTATTTTCCATTTAAAATCAATGTACTGAAAGAATTAGTGGCCTAGTTTACCAAAAACATTTATAAATAAGCTGATGATTTCACAAAACTGTGGATGTATATCTATAGTTAAAAATGTTTTCATTAGAATTGCTATGAACATTTCAAAGATGTTCATTTGCAGAAGTTTTGATTTAGATGTAGATTTATATAAATAATAGAAAGTATGCATAAAGATTATTTTTTAAAATAAGAGGTCATTTATGTGTCAGTTGCTTAAATAATTTGAAGAATTTATCTGGCAATGCTTAACCAGTTTTTC